TGATAGGACAAATAACAACACATAATGTCACGACAAAATTCTAACTGTGTAAAAGAAATATTCGAGATTCATCGTTTGGTTTTTTTGCTGTAAAACAGGTAATGATTCTATTTCTTTATATTCCGACTAGAAGATTTTAATATATACAATTTTATTTAGAATCTGGAAATTCTTGTTCTACACTTTTCTTGATATGACAATTGACGGTGTAACATTACTGCATGAAGCATCTTCACATACAAAAGAACATGTTCATTTAATTACAACTCTCGACTGTTGAATTTAATGTCAACTAGATGTAACTCTGCGTTTTAAGAATATTATTGAATTACTGAAGATGGCCAGATTGTGGCCGAAACGTTTAATGTTTTAATTAATGTAATAATAATTATACATCACAAACTATAACTTGTGCTGTGGTTTTTTATGCTCTTATTTTTTATAAATGAAAATTTTCTCCATTATTTTCAATAATTAAAAATTTTACTATTTTAATTTTTTATCCTAGAAATAAAGTTTCATGATTGACACACAAATTCTCATATGGGCAATAGCGCTCTCTGCCTTTATTTTCGAAAAATATATACGAAAAACTAAGGAAATACTATAGTATGCGTTACATATACTATAGCATTGTCCTAGTTTTTCATATGCGATATTTTTCGAGAATAGAGGCACCAAACGCAGATTGACGAAAAGCCGGTTGTGGGGGTAAAATTTCTAAATCCCCCATCATCCATTTTGCACCAATCAGCGTTCGGTGTCAGAACACTGTTTGCCCATATGAGACTGCTTTCACATGTAAAGCTGGTTCTACATTAGGCGCATCACAGCGTCGTAAACGTTGCGGTCTTAAAACATACTGGAAGGACTATATTGGTTACACGTATGTAATCAATGTAATAAAAGTGTCTCCAATATCTATCTATTCTTATCTGAATGCTTGTTTGCTGTGCGCTTGCGCGTGATAATACCGCGTAATTCGAACTTGAAAAAATGTAGAATAGTTATCAAAATGTTATTTGAAATTTGAAAATGATGAAAAAACATGTGTTCAGCTATTAAATTATCGTTGTTGTTGATTATAACTATACATTTAAAATACACACATATTTTACAATATATATTTATATAATTTAAATTAATTCAATACATAGCCTTAGAATTTAAAATTATCTACGAAGTAAAGCTATTACGCATGAAGAGATATTTTAGTTTGCTTCGTTGATATTTTGAGACATGTAACGCAATAACGTCCTATTTTTTAATAATTCTACATGCTTTCGTTTCGCGAGCTTTGAAGTTAGAACGTATGTACATATGAATATTCATAATCGACGCATGCGCATTACAGTGAAGCATTCAGAGGACAAATAGATGCCATCGACAGTCACCTATGGCCCTTCCAGTATGTATGTTCTAAGGTTACGGCCCAATCAATATCAATCTAGCTCGATTCTAATTGGATAACGATTACGACACTGCGATGCGACTAATGTAGAACCAGTGTAACATGCGTAAACGTAACTTGCGTCAGCTAATCAAATTGTTTCAACTAGAATAATGCGTAGCTGATACAATTTGATACGATTTGATTGGTTGACGCAAGCACCGACGAGATACTATTAAGATACACAGTCAATCCTGGACAAATTTTCGACGATCCCAAGAAAGGATCCCAAAAGCCCGGAGGTAATTAAGAATAAAGAATGCTAATAAAGAATGCTGACATTATCGACAATTGTTATAAATTTGCTATTATTAACATAAATATTTGGCTCATATTAGTTGTTGGAATTAATTCGTAGCGTTTTACAAGTGATGGGAAGTACTTTCATTAATGTATTTTTTAATGCTCATGTGAAATAAATAACATTCTTTCATTAAAAACGCTACGAATTAATTCCAACACCTAATACATTATTAAATTCATGATTTTTTTATTATATAAATGTTCCATAAATAAATATGCATACTTGTAAAGCTATAATATCCTATATATTGCAAAAAAATTGCAATTTTTTTCTTTGCAGTTATCAACTGTTGATAATCAAACTTTGACAATAACATTAAAATCACAATTTTAAAGAAAAATCGAATATTATTGAGTTCTAAATGTATAAATACGTTTATTAAACTAATAAGTCATAAAATTAGTACAATATCATCAGTTTTTAACTCTTAATCATTTCAATATTTACAAGAACGCGAATTCCCGTAGAATGTCGGTCTTTAATAGTATTTCATCGATGACGCAAGTTACGTTTACGTAAGTTACACTGCATGTGAAAGCAGTTTGAGGATCCGGGCTTAAGCCTGCGGTACACGATGCTTATTTTCCTGGATTATTAGCTGTATTAGAATCTTTCCACCGTATTGGCTGCGATGCTGTCAGTGGCTTAGTTCCACCGAGGTTTAATCTGGATCAGAATGTAAGAACCAACCAACTACAGTCGAGTATTTCCCTGTCGTTGTAAAAGGGGATCAATGTTACCAACTTTTCAAAAAGTTATTTGGTAGCCGTACTTATTTTGCAATAAAATCTTCAAAAATCGTCAATTCTAAAAAAATTATTTTAATTCTAAATAAAATCCAAATCGATCAATTGTGAATGTTAAAAGATGCATATCTCTCACTAAGCTCGCCGTCAGCTCGAAGCGGCTTATAACTTAAATCTAAATAAAATCATAAATCTATTATTGATACGCTAAATATAATTATAAGAATAAAATGGAAGATTGCGATACATTCTGATATTACACTATAAAACTAAGCTGCGTTCCAGCAAGTACTTTACAGTGGAACATCTCTATGTCCTAGCTGGAAAACAGCTTATGCCAGTGCCAGCAGCGGAAGCAATCAATCAGTTGGGCGATACGGGCAGTAGTGTAAAAAAAAAATTTTTTTTACTCCTCTGTAAAAATCGCCTCGTTGATTGGTTGCTACTTCCGCTTACATGTGAATGCACTTTAACTCTGACGCTGTAATCAGAATGCACCTTAAATGACACCATATAAAGAATGAAAGTAACAACTCTACATTATTTTTTCGTCATTCGTGTACTGTCAACTGTCCTAATATGTTTCTAACGATTAAGAAGTTTTGAAAGGAGGTTAGTTTTCTGATTTATCTCGAATTCCGGTTGTCATCTATTTGCATATTCGTCATCTGATCGGATCTCAAAAGCGACTGTATTTTATAGTTTTTGTATTTTGATTTAGTAAACATTTGGAAATATAATTGATCTCGAAATATCGAAATGAGAAGCGCAACATGCATCAAGTGAGAGAATATCTTTATTGAAATTTTCTTTCGGAAGTCGATCAACGATAACCATGACGCGAACAAACAGGTTTGTCTTTTAAACGTTTGCGAGACGTTGACGTAATAAATTATGATATCTGCTTGGTAATTATTTAGAATATCCCACCCCACTTAAAATCTTAATAAAAATATACTCATTCGAATTTATCGCGTTTTCACTGAAAACGAAAGAATCTGGCAGAAAAACGTCAGCCTCGTGAATCGAGTTAGTAAGCGTTAAAGTTGGAAACTTTAGAGATAATATTTAAGATAATTATACAAATTCTCTGCTTCACAAACACACAAATTCACCGCTTTAAAAACACAAATTCATTGCTAATGGAAAGAATTTGTGTTTGTAAAGTGAATTTGTGTAATTAAAGCAGAACATATACATATATAGTACTGTATTGAGTCAGGGTGACAAATAGTTTAAATCTAAATTTTAACGCTTAATAACTCGATTCACGAAATTGACGCGTTTTTTTTTGTTAACAGATTCTTTCATTTTGAATGAAAATACGTCGAATAAGTATATTTTTATTAAGATTTTAGGTGGAGTGGGATATTTTATATTAAGCTAATGTGTATACATATGTATTTGTAAAAATGTATTTGAAAAAACAAATATAAAAGAAGTTGAAAAACATAATTTTTATCATACATCTTGAAAATAATTTTTATCCACAATAGCAATATTATGATTTTTGTAATAATTTTCTATTTGAATCGTTTAGGAAGAGATGTCGCAACATAGAAGAGGAATCTAGCGACTTTATGCCATTGAGCAAACGAATTAACAATCTTCATATCAATGGTTTATCTGGCCTACGAGAGAACACGGTGGAGAATATGGAAACTGATTGGGAGAGTGGAAATTTCATGTCATCTCCAAGCTGCTCAGAGATATCTCAAAATTCATCGCCCAGAGGCAGTTGTGGTTCCAGCCAAAGCAGTTTTACCAGTGATTACAGACCAGATTTGAATGCGACGGAAAATCCTTTTTATTACGAGAGCAATAAATTGCTCTTTTCCTTGTACATGGAACGTATGCAGAGGAGACCAGATCTCTATTGACGAACACACGTTTCAAAGCATCTTGAGATTTAGTCAAGTCTCGCTGTTTTTCTTCTGTCATTCTGCTATGTGATATATATGATAATTCTTAATTAACCAATCGATATCGTCGATTGGATAATGATGAAGCGTGCGTACCACAGCAATAAAATTGGTATATAAAACTTTTATCGGAAGCAGCATCTATAGATATAAGAATAATGTATAATCGTTGTAGTATTAAGCATCTTTTATTAGCGCATATAATTGTGTGTAAGTGAGAGTATATGAATGTGAAACCATGCAAATTTGTAATATTTCTTTATTTAAATTATTTCTCATACAAATCATCACCTAGGTTCATCATTATATTTCATTATTCTTATGGATCCGTATTTTCATTGGCATATGTGATGTAACGTAGAATTTGACGCACGGCAATCGACAGGTGAATTTGAAAAGAAAATATTGGCGAAGAGCGAATATCGAGGAGCACGATCGATTATGATTCGTCAGTTTCTTAAGGCTTAAATTGAAACTTGATACAGCTATTTGTAGATCTAGGCTCACGAGAAGAGATGACTGTTGAATTTTGGCCCGGTACTCGTAGTCGGTTCTTAATTATTTTAAAAAGCGTTTCAATTAATGTCTTGGGATGCTAATACATAAAGTATCACAATCCTGATAACAAAGCCTGCGGAGACAGATTTTGAACAGAGCCTGTTACCAATTTTTGATTGCAGAAAAGCACAAAATTGTATACAGAATTTGTATTATCTGCAAATTGCTGCCAGAAATGTAACAAAGTCTGCTAGACACGCTATGCCAGCAGATTGGTAGCAGACTCTGCTCGGTTCCTGCCACCAATTTGCCGGCATAGTCGATAGATCCAAATGCCAAATGCGGATACAGATGGCTATGGTTTTGTTAGTCAAAATCTGATGGAGTTTGCTGCCAATTTGGCCCAAATTGCTAACATTTTGCTACGAGGGTATGAATATACATCAACAGCGCCATCAACAGCGATGTTTCGAGAACGTTTCGTAAAAATGCGCGCATTCGAGGCTCGAGAAAGATGGCAGGACAGCCATCAATGTGATTGGATCTTCACTCGACTTAACTTCTAGCGAGTATCCGCTAGGTGCGTGCGAGTCGAGTCGAATCGAATCGAATCGCTCTGTTCCGTGGATCCGTGGTCGCGTAAAGCGTGGCGTGACGGAACTTGGAACTCGAAACTCGGAAGGGTGAGGAAAGGAGGAGGGATCGACGTGACGGAGTGACGAACGAATGTGTTTAGAATATTTAGATCGTACGAGATAATCGGACGCGAAGGGAAAATTGAGCAAAGATAAGCGTCGTAACATCAGCTTGCTGGAACGATCGACTCGATCGGCAAGTACGCGCAAGCGCCAATACTCCACGTTTCCAATTGCCTTGCCTCATTACTCACTCGTACCCTACTCCGCAACCGTCGCCATAATTAATATCTTAACGATTGAACAGCATACATTAACAGCAGCTTAGAGAGCGCGCGTATCCTCTCGGTCGAAAGGGACGGCATATTTAGGTGACGGCAAATTAGGCGACGGTGGATCACTCGGACTCGAAGGTCTCGAAGTGGTTTGCCGATGTCCATCGTAGTGGCGTGTCAGACGGCGTATGTCGACACGTATGTACCGTTAGTCTGAATCTATTCCCGTTGGTCGGCTCGAGCGACATCCACGCTGACAGCTCACGTACCTACCGACCGAGGAGGGCTGAGCCATATTCGATCGCGGTTGGTCGTCGTAAACCCGGAAACGAAGCGTGTGCGCGTCTCCGTTCAGCGAGAGCGCCGAGAGCTCGAGTGTGCGTTCGAGAGAGACAGAGAGAGAGCGAGAGAGTGCGAGTGCGAATTTATCGCGGAGTCACTCTCGAGCTCTCCTCGAACTTCCGTTAGAGACGTGCGCGCGTCCATCCTGACGTCTCTCTACGCATATGTATGACGTGTGCATCGCAGCGACTACCGCGGTGATACGTCGGTCGGCGTGTTCACGTTGAAATGAGAAAGTTGTTGCCGTTGCGCTGAGGATTGGGAACGACGACGCACGCGAACCAGCCAGACGGACAATTCCCGTACTAAGCGGACGTACGGAGACCGAAGGCAGCGACAGTAACAGCGGTACTTTGAGCCGAGTGTGCACGGAGAATCGTTTGCTCGTTGCTCGTTGATCGCTGCTCGCTGGCTCATCTACCTGCCTGTACTTACTCGTAAGTAGAACAAAGTCAAAACTAGTTTTCACATCTTGAACGTGCTTGCAATCTTCCTCCCGTGCTTCAGACGTTGTGTGAGACATGTAATTTTTTTTCCCTTTATAATTACCATATGTGCTCCGTCTTCTCTCTCCCTCCCTCTCCCTCTCTCTCTCTCTCTCTCTATATATATATATATGTGTGTGTGTGTGTGTGTGTGTGGGTGTGTGGCGTGTGTAAAAAAAAATATATATATATATAAAAGTAGCTTAATATCCGTGGCGCTCGATCGAGTCGATCGCAGTCCCGATAGTCCCGATAGTCCCGATGATGCGTGGATCGTTGGACGGTACCGCCCCGGTAGGTGCCATGTCACGTTCGACTCTAGACGACGAGAAACCGCGAAACGGTGGCCACAGAGAGCACCCACCCCAAGACACTAAAATCGTCGCGGGGCCCTCGTCGTGGCTCACGGCTTGGCTCGAGCTGGCTTTGGTGGGGTGGTTGGAGGTGCGGACAGTGGTTGAGAGGCTGGTGGGGTTGGAAATTGCGTGGTGGTGGGTGTTCGTCGAGGTCTCGGAGGCCCCTCCGTGGCATCTCGCTGCCTACCCATCGAGGTGGGGGTGTAAACAACAGCCCTGCCCGTGTACCTCGCCGTCGTTTCGCCTCTGCCCTGCTCTCCGTCAGCTGATGCATCTTTCGCCTCGCCGTCGTTTCGTCGATCTCTTTCCTCTTTCCTATTTCCGTCCTTGGTACGGTGTACGGTCCCGGGTACGGCTCCAAAGGAACGAGTAGGGAGAGGACTTTACCACGGAGATTACTCTCGGCAGTCACGGCCTCGCGTTAGAAGAAGGGATTTCATAGAGCTCTCGGAGCTTCATAGAGCGGGAGAGAAGCAAAGAGAGGGAAATGTAAAAAAAAGCTGCGTCACAATCCTCACGCGCTCTTACGTGAATCTTTTTTTTCCAACATGGCGGCCGGGCTGCCTATGCAAGCCACGCCGTGCCACGACGCATTTCATTCACCGCGACTCGACCGACGCCGTCACCCGTCGTTGGTCATCGACCGTCGGCGTCCTGATTGTCCAAGTGATTGCTTGCTCCGAACGGAACTTTCGCGATGCGTTTTTCCCCTTTTTCCTCCCAATAATTTCTTCTAAAAATCAAGAACGTATGTGCGTCGCATCGCATCGCATGGTACGATATCGAGAGCAGTGAGGAGGAAAGCGGAAAGGAAACGATGCGGGACGCCGCGCCGATCCGTTTGGCGTGCAGCGTCCCGCACGTAGTAATGCGAAACGCCCCTAGCTTGTCTAGCTAGACGGATCGCATCTTGCGAAAAATCTCCATTACGTGCATATATACACAACACACACACACACACACATATATATATATATATATATATATGTGTGTGTATGTGCGCGCTACTTGCTTCGCGGAGCGCCTGATTGAAACAAAGATACGATACATCCGAGGCATCGAGTATGTAAGGAGAGGAACGGACGGAAGGGAGGGGGGGGGAGAGAGAGAGAAACGCGTGTGAGAGACAAGGATAAACTTAGCCTCGACTAACCTTAGGAGAATCGTTGCGCCATGACGACATGCGCGTCTTACGAGAGCGTCTAGCCGAATCTAGCGTCGGTAGTCGACACGAGCGAGAACGGAGCCGTCCGATCAGTCGCGCACGCCATTTCGCGTACAACGCAAAACACGTTGCGTGGTGTCGACGAGAGGTGGTGAAGCGTAGCGCCTCGTGTAGCGTCCGAGGGAGCTCGAAATTCGTAATTCATCCGAGCACAACATTCTCTCTCTCCCTCCCCTTCAAAGTAACACCCTTGGCGGGCACGACACCCACATCCGCGAATATCTTAACCTCTTTCTCTCTTCCCGTCCACGGATCCCGACGGATCCCGTCAACGAAGGGTGGGGATCGCCTCAGTTATCGTTATCATTGTCATCATTGCCCCAATTCGTCTGGCGCGCGCCGTGTCCGCCCGCTACGGGTACCTTCGTAACCCCCTGACGTTTTCGCGTTCCCCTTCCCCGGGGAGAGAACGTCGGTGTGCGACTCCCTTCTTTCTTGACATTCCCCTACCCTTGTCAATTCGCCTTCTTTCTCGTCCCGTTCTCGCGGTACACGCTACGTCGAGGTAACGCGCGCGAGAGAAAGAGGA